AGCAACATTGAATTCTGCAGTACTTGATTTCTTATGCATATTTGTAATTTTCTTCAAATATCCAATTAAATTTTTAATATAGTCAACTTTTCAGATCCCAGAATTTTGATCATAAAAAGGTGCCACTTATGCCAATTCTGATTCATACTTCAGTAATTCATTATATAGTTGAGATATCCGCAACTTGTTTTCCTTTAGTACATAGTTTTCTGATTTATCTATAAACTTCCGTGAATATGTAGTAATAGTAAATTATATGGATAGTACAGATATTTTCAATTGGATCTTGATTCTTAAAAATAGAATTTATTTTAACATAATTAAAAATAAATAAAATTAACAAAACTATAATTACATTTATTCTCATTATCTTTATAATTGTAATCTTCACTTTTCTTTCTTTCAGATTGTCTAATTTAATAATAATTAATAAAATAAAATAATTCAAAATTAGATTATATTAAATAGAACATACCTATATTAACATTTTTTGAAAGTATCTTAATTTCACCATCACTATCTTTACCATTATTATTTTCACTATCTACTTATTCTTTTCTTTTTTTCAATTTTCCTAAATAGAATTAATAAGAATTAGTAATATAAGCTAAACTTGAATTTTGTTAAATTGAATATACCTATATTATCCTCACTATATTCACTATCATCATTGTTGCTATTCACATGCCCTTTCTCTTTTCTCAATTCATCTATTTTAGCAAATATAATTAACAAAGTAACATAAATTGAACTCAAATTGTACTAAATTGAACATACCTATATTGTCTTCACTATATTTATCATCATCACTGTTACTACCCACCTGCCCTTTCACGTTTCTTAATTTACCTATTTTAGCAAATAGAATTAGCTAAGTAACATAAGCCAAACTCAGATTGTGTTAAATTGAATGTACCTATATTGTCCTCACTATATTCATCATCATCGCTGTTGCTACCCACCCACTCTTTCACTTTTCTTGATTCGCCTATTTAAAAAATAGAATTAGCTAAGTAATATAAGTTGAACTCAGATTGTGTTAAATTAAACATACCTATATTGTCATCACTATATTCACCATCATCGTTGTTACTACCTACCTATCCTTTTTCTTTTCTCAATTCGCATATTTTGCTACTCACTCACTTTTTAGATTTGCCTATTTTGCTACTTAATCACTTTTTTAATTCATTTATTTTAATGAATAAAATTAATGAAGAAACAAAAGCCAATCTCAGATTGTATTAAATATGCATATTATAGTAGGCTAATCGGCGAGTCTATTACTAATAACCAAAACTTGTGTAACCTTTAAATGGAAGAGTCCGTTCTTTTATCACATTCATCTTAAGATTCGTCATTTTATTAAATTATTGAAAAAAGTTATATTTATACATTTTTATATATAGGGCTATTACATAATCACTATGGCTATTCTAATATTATGTTATGTATATATTGTTTCATGGTCAGCTAATTTTCTATTACCTCAGCTTATAGTTTTTTACCTTTTTGATGCAAATGGATTGTTTACACATTCTTCTAGCTTGCAAGGGGTATGGTAATAGTCAGCAATTAATTGTTTCACATAAGCTTCGGTCACGTTACAATCATTGATCACATGATTATGGTGAAAATTTTGAACTTTGTTTAACTTCTTTGACCTTTAACAGTATGTACATATGTACTGTATATCTAGTTGAATAAATTCCATTGATTCAGTTCTATATATTAAATCTAAAAATTTGATTTGTTAGTATAACTTTTTAAAAAAATTATTAACATGCGATTTTTTTTTATCGATATGTTGGATTGACTATATCAATTTATTTGTGCTTGAGTCAACTTCCATTATAAGAATTACAAATAAAATTAATTCATATTATATTCAATTGATAATTACAAACTAAAAAATATATATATATCCAAAAATTCTTTATATTTCACTTTCAGATTTTTATTATCTGTGCTTAATTTATTACTCATCTCAAAAATGATATTTAACTTTTTTGAAATTTCTTTCCTCCTAACATTTGTGGCAATAGTAACAAATGTGAATTGTTTTCAAATACTATTGATATATATAGCTTCTATCCCATTATCAATAAATTTGACTTTATGAATATGCTGATCAAAATTATAAAGAGAGGCAAGGTATAATGATCATATTAAATTATTATCAGCTAAAAAAAATTAGAGTTATTTATTATTAAATTTAAATATTCAACAAAAATCGAACTTGGCATATATAAAAGAAAAATAAGTATTTATCTATAATTAAATGACAATAGAAAGTAAGAAAATATGAGTAAGAGATAAAGGGTTAAAAGAAAAAAAAAAAAACTATATTTATGAATGCCATAATTACATATTATACATAATTACTATCTACTTATTATATTAATTACATATTATATATAATTGCTATTTACTCATTACATCAATTATATATTATGTCATATTAGTATATATGATCATCAAAGGTTTTGAGTCATTATAAAAATTTTTGATTAATCATAGTTTGTAATCAAATTGTTATTTTTACCTAAAACCTGTATTATCATAAAATAAATATGTAATACTTTTATAAATTAATGAAAAAAATTAAATCAGAGTCAAAATAAAAAAGATTTGTTAATCATAAATATGTATATATTATAAATTTATATGAATTTAATTTGTTAAGTATTATAAAATAAATAAATTTATATGTATAATATATAATTTAAAATTTTGATTATTTTATAATATTCTAATTAATGAATTTTTTATTAAAATAATATTTGTTAACAATTTTAATTATTTTAAAATTTTTTATTTTTATATATATTTATTAATAAAAATGATAGGTGGTGCAAGATTTTTGAGAGTTACGGTATCAGTAATAATAAAAAAAGTTTTAATCCTAGAATATTATATAATAGATTTTATTATAGACAAACTAATTAACTCAATATTAGAATTAATATAAAAGTTAGAAGATATGAAACATTTGATAAGAAATCAATAATACAACCAAATACAAAAAAAAAAAATTATTATATAATAAAACAAGAAAAAAACCTCACTTTCAAGATACTAGATATTTTCTAATGTTGATCAAGCTCTTTAATATATTGTTATTGATAATAATAGAGAACTAATCTATTATTATAATAGAAAAAACCATTATAATAGATCAAAAAAGTTCATAATTTAAAAGTGAAAGTGATCAAAATTCACTTTATTAGATTCTTTGTAACTTTAAAAGATTAAACAATAAAATCGATCTAATTGAAGAAAAATATGGAATCAATCTAGAATAAAAAAAAAATATATCAATTATTTTTAAAATAGTACTAGTTCAATTAAGATATATCAAAAAAGAAATAAATTCTTAGGAGAAATCAAACTTATTCTAAAAAAGAAGTTTATTACAAAAAAATCATAAACATTATCACATTTCTTTCTGATAATATATACAATGTATTATAATTTGATAATTTTATTAGTATTATATTTCAATTTGATTTTAAGTCTTGGATAATATAATTTTTATTATGATAATTGTTCAATAAAAATATATTAGTTTTTTTAATATAAACATGTTTATATTGATTGCATTTATATGTTTTAATGATATTATTAATAATTAAACAAAGAATTTTTTCAAAGATGTTCTTTTTCAATTGAGCAAGTTCTTAAAAAAACAATCATATCAAAAGATTAATAAAGAGTTTTATAATATGTCAATTCCTATCTTTCAATAATTTTCCTAAATTTTCTTAAGTGATAAAAGTTTTTCTTAAAAGAAAATTAAGAAGATTTTCAAATTTTTTTGGAAGGGTTAAATAAAGTTTTTAAAAAAATTCCTTTATCTTGATCAGATAAACTTTTTTAGTATAGTGCTAATACAGAAGATGCAATAAGAAAAATTATATATTGATTGAGGAATAATTTTTCCAAATTAGCTTGTGAACTTTTTATACTTTTTAAGTAATGTAATTCTTTAACTATTGTGTAATGACATACCATGATGTCATGATTGTAGGTTAAAAAAAAAAAAAAAAAAAGAATGCTCTCGCTAATGCATTTTGAACACTACATGCAGTATACTGCAGGATATCGTTGGCTTAATGTAAAATGGCTAACTTCCTTTATTTATTAATATAATAAACTAACAGTATATCAAGAAATTCACCCATTGATAAGCACCAAAATATTATACAAGACCTCAAGACGAAACAGAATTATTTAGTCACTTCGTTTTCTTGCCCTTATTTTGAACCCAACGCATTGCCTTATTATTGATTTACTGAACTTTAAGGGCGCATCACCTTCCACCAATTCAATGTCATACGTTTTAAAAATCATAAGTAGCGTGGCTTTTAGTATAAGCTTTGCTAAATTTCTTCCGGGACCTATTAAAAAAGCGTATATAAATATGCAAATTTTTTATCGTGTACCTTAAACTAAAAATAAAAAAAAGAAAGAAAGAAAAGGAAAGAAAGCTCACATTTTCTTAGTCCGGCTCCAAAGATATAGAGCTTGTTCCTGAAATCCGGGTGTGACTCGTCTATAAACCTATCAGGGTTAAATAATTCGGGATCCGTCCATTTAGATGGACTATGATGAATTGCGTAGAAATTTATAAAGAAATCGGTGTCAGCCGGAAAAGTGTAGCCGCCAATCTCGTCGGGTTTTGCGTTTTTCTTTGCAACAAATGATGCAGTAGATGCTAGTCTAGCGACTATTGGTGAAACGTTATTAGAAGAAAAATTATATAACAAGTATTTCCGGTGGCTATTTACCTTCATTGAAGACAGCCTCGCAATAAGCTAATTTATTGATACCTTCATAAGATATTGGGGAATCACTAAAGGTATCACTAAATTCTTTCATCAATCGTTGTCTTACTTCAGAATGTTTAGCCACCATATAAATTAAATAACACAATAAATCTGCACTCTAAAATCATAACCAAAGTATTAGCTTTTGACGATATCTAAAATGAGTTACAGTCAAATATATAACCATACCAGGCCAGGTGCAGCAGCCGAAACTTCGAGAAAAACATTAACTATCTCTTTATCAGTCATTGGTCGACCATTTATATCATCAGCAATCCCCTTAGTAATGTCACGAGGAGTGTTGACTGTTAAAAACATTGTTAAAAAATCAGGAACCAATTTTTCATCTTCTGGAGTTCTTTCAATCTCCTCTCTTCGAGCTTTAACAATTTTAAGGAGATTTTCCCTTAAATATTCAATTTTATCTTTACATTTCTTGGTGTAGGATCTAATTATAGGTAAATCTCTGACAATTTTGGGTGCAAAGTAAAACCACAATTCTAAATTTATGAAGTCAGTGGCACATTGCCTAAAATATTCTTTTTCTTTTAACAAGCCATCGGAAATCTCGGGGTCGCTATTAGGGGACAATTTATTATAATAATCGGTTAACACATCCAAATAATTGCCGGTGGTGAGAAAGAAAGCCGAATCCATTAAATAACCTCTTGACCATTCGGAGAAATCTAATACCGTGTCTTCACCTAGCTTTGCCCAATAACCCTCCATTAACTGAAATGTAGATTGCGTACAAGCTAATGCTTGTCTCATGAAAGCTGGTGTGAACATAGTCTTAAGGTAAAATTTGCGAACGTATGTCCACTCATCATAGTTTAGATTAAATGCTAATGCGACATTAATCATTCCAACCTCATCAAGACCACAGTCTTTACTAACTCGATCATGGAAATTGTTGCGCAAGGCCGAGCTAAAAATTTTTTGCGGCAATTCTTCGTTGCATAGCCAAACGTTGCGAGTAGGACCTACATACACTTCAAAGATATCTCCATATTTGGCCTGCAGTTCCGAAGGCCAGACAGCAATATCACCAGTGAATGTCAATATATTTCCTACAAGTGGTAGGGGAATTGGGCCTGGTAGTGGACTCTGGCGAGTCAAATATTTATAATAAAAACGTGTAACATAACCTGCTATGAGGAGGATTATGATCGACGAAATGTCGACATTAAAAAGAGTCATTTTTACCAAATTCTAGAGAGAGAAAGAAGCGCCAATTTATATCAATAACAAATAATTTTTTGTGTGAAACTATCATAACTTGTTTCGACGTTGCATTAAGTAAGTTAATTTTTGAATTCAAAGTAATAACGATATACAAATTATGCTCTTGCATCCACAGATGTTTATCACCCAATAGCAAAATGGTAGATAATCCGCGCATGCACGCACGTTCACAAAAAATCAATCAATCAATTAATTAGTTACATGTCACCTATCCCTGCATAATTTATTGGTTGGATAAGAGGTGAAAACACAAAAACCATTGTTCAAAGCTTAAATCAGTGATCTTACTAAATGGCATAATAATCTGCCGATATAGAAAAATTTTCACCCTACCAACCTCGGTTTCTTTTTATTTTCTAATAATTATCTTAAACTTACCAACAATAATTATTATTATTTTTCCCTATCCAAATTAAACTTTAACTTTTATCTATTAAATCAGAAGGTATCGATCACATTGCGTAGCCTGAGTTATCTGTGTACGTATTCGGAAAATGAAAGATCAGCATTTAGTACGGATGGATCGAATAAAAAGAACCAATTGCGACTGGAAAACAGCCTTCTTTAAAGGTTTGCGGAACAAGTGCTTTATATACAGTATGTATAAGTTAGACTTATTCAGTGGCGATCATGACGCTACGATTTCGAATGACTTTTGAAAACAAACATGGGATAAGTGCTGCGGTGTGGTCGTGAATTATAAGAATTTGTGTGACTAATTAAATATACGTAAGAACAGCGTGAACTCTCATTCAAGCCATTTAAAGAAAGGGATTGTCAATCCACATTCCATCCTGGGAAGGTCCCAAATTCTTGTCCCTAAACAATAATGTCAACCGCTGCTGAGACGATTAATAAATGTATTCGAAAAAAAAAAAAAAAAAAAATCAATGAGCACTAAAAAAGACCTTTGGCTTATTGTTTGTCACTCTCTTTGGCACCTTTACTCAGACTTTAAAACTCATCAATGATCATCTTGAGCGGGCTTAAAATCACGTTAGAACCTTATTGCACATCTTAAAACAAAAAAGAAGTCAAACAATTGGATAATTCAAAAAAAGAAATTAATAATTCATGCCGTTGAAATACAAAGGATCGTCTTTTAGAGTCAATTGAATTTTTTTTTTAGTTGAGTGTCATACTGTGCACTGCTTGTATAAAATTCCAACTTGTAAGAAATTCCGGATATCCTATACCGAAGGTGCGTAGATATTCTCCGTAAGTGGAACCAATGCCAAAATAACCATGGCAAGCCATCAAATGTTTTGCAAACAAAGACCATACTGCGTGAAGAGTCTAATGCGTATAATTAAAACCATCTGGACCCATGCCATGGAAAAAAAAAAAAAAAATAGAAACGATGGTAAACTTTGAAAGATGTAAAACATAAGATTATTGGTGTACGAAGATGTAGTATCAGTCAACAAAAAAATAGGTGAAACCTTAAAGATACCAATAAATATCGTTCGCGATGTTATCTTGTACACAAAACCACAGAACAATAGTTACCTCCTTCCAAAACAACAGATTACCTAAAAAAAAGTCGAGGCCTTAACGATTGTTTAATGAGAATTAAAAGAATTTTATATACTATATATACTGTATAATAATAATAATAATAATAATAATAATAATAATAATAAACCCCTTTTTATTAATGTAATTGGTGAATAAAAATTTCGTGAATTAAGTCAATGTATCGTTTTTTATATATAAGAATCCATTTCCACAAAGTTTTGGTTTTAAACAAAGTGTACATAACAAATTTTATAATTTTTTATAATTTCTTTATCAAGTATAAAATAAAAAAATAAATAAAATATTTTACCTTGCAAGTATATTAAAAAAAGACAATAATCAAAAAAAGACAATAATAAAAAAAAAAAAAAAAAATTTTTTTTTTTTTTATTAACAACTTTCAGGAATCGACCGATTAAATTTCAAAGACATTGTGTCTCCATTAGTTACCTAGTTTCTTAACCCTTACTTCAAACCCAACACATTGTCTAAATAACGATTTGCTAAACTTCAAAGGTGCTTCCTTGTCCACCAATTCAATGTCATATTTTCTGTAAAACATAGCCAGCGTAGCTTTCAATAGAAGTCTTGCTAGGTTCCTCCCAGGACCTGTTAATAAATAGATATACGAATTTTTAAAACAATCTCTCTATTTGCTGAGCCTATAAAATTTTCAAACCTTACACATTCTCATTCCACTACCAAACGTATAAACTTCCTTTTTATAATCTGGGTGTAATTCGTCCATGAACCTATCAGGATCAAATAATTCTGGATTTGTCCATTTGGATTTATGCTTATTGACCGCATGAACGTATATAAAGAAGTCGGTGCTTTCTGTAAATGTGTAGCCACCGATCTGGTCCGGTTTCTCATTTCTCTTTAAAATAAATGGCACAACCGATGACACTCTAGAAGCTTTTGATATTGTTAATGTCGTTCCAATAAAATAGTTGATTTTTGGCAAATATATCTACCTTCTTTTAGGACGGCGTCACAGTAAACCAATTTGTTAATGCCTTCGTAGGTTATTTCATCTTTGCCGAAAACATCATCGAATTCTTTAATCAACCGTTGCTTCACTTTAGGATGTTTGGATAAAATGTGGAGTAAGTAGCATAGAGAATCGGATGTCTAGATCATAATTTAAATACAGTATAATGACTAAATGAAACATCATGTATAAGAACTATTGTGAAATAAATCTAACAGTACTGTAACGAGCCCAGCAGCCGAAATTTCCATAAAAATTGATGCGATCTCTTCATCAGACATTGGTCGGTTATTTGCGCCGTCTGCAATCCCTTTGGTGATGTCACGTGGTGTATTGACCGTTAGGAACATTGTTAAAAGGTCTCGGGTTAGCGGCTCATCTTCTGGCGTTCTTTCAATCTCCTCTCTCCGAGATTTAACATCGTTAAGAAGACGTTTCCTTAGCCAATTATGTTGATGCTTCAATTTTTTTGTATACGAATTGATTCCGGGAAAATTTCTAATGAACCTTGGGATGTTGTGGAACCATATTATAACATCCACAAATTCAGAAGCACATTTCGAAGCATATTCCTTCTCCTTCATTTTATCAGAAATTTCGATCTCTTTGTTAGGAGAAATTTTATTATAATAAGAGGTCAGAGTATCTAATGATTTACTGGTGGTAAGAAGTTCTGTGGTATCACTAAAGTAATTTCTGGCCCAACAAGAGAAATCCAGCGCAGTGTTTTCTCCAAGCTTCATCCAATAATTTTCCATCTTCTGAAACGCAATTTGCGTACTAGCCAATGCCTGCTTCATGAAAGCTGATGAGAAAATAGCTTTCGAATAAACCCTTCGAATAAATGCCCAATTCTCATAGTCCAAATTAAATAACAATCCCGTGTTAATTAGCCCAACCTCACCAAGACCAGAATCTTTACCGGCATGATTATGAAAGTTACTATGGATGGCTGGGCTAAATATTTTTAGAGCCAATTCTTCACTGCATAGCCAGACTTTGCGTGTAGAACCAATATAAACCTCGAAAATATCACCGTACTTAGATTGTAGTTCGGAAGGCCAGATAGAGATATCACGGAAAAATATGAGGGTATTTCCAATAATTGGTAGAGGGAATGGACCTGGTAGAGGACTCTCGCGGGTGAAATATTTATAATAGTAATGTGAAACGTAAGCTGTTAAAAAAAGTATTATGGCCGATAGAACGTTGTTATAGGTAAACAATGACATTTTTGCTGGAATTACGAGGTGGTTAAAAGGAAACTCGGGGAATGCTTATTTATTTATAATTTAAATCTTTCCAAACCGGTAAAAGGTTATTCGTGTTCATGTACGCACGTACGAAAAAAATAAACAGAATAACAAAATAACGATATTATCTATCATAAAATTATTTTCGTGAGACATGGTATAAAAATTATCCGATGAGAAAAATCTATTTTTTATTCAGTAATAGATATATGAATATAATTGTACGTAGCTCAAACAATTATAAATTAGATTGAATAATTTAAATGTATCAAACAGTTAATATAAAAAATAATTCTTGGGTTTTTAATAAAAAATTTTAATTACTTTTAACATTCAGGCTAATAAATTTTTAAAGTTAAAAAAATTCAAATGATAATTGTAATCATAAATTTTTTACTAGTATTGATAATTTTAAATTTCTATTATAGTTATATGAATTGGTAAGTTAAAAACTCTATAATATTCAATAATTTGAATAATAAATAAATGAACTGTATATACTATATACAATATACTATATATACATTTATTTACAGTATTCTAATTTTTTATAAATTCTTTGATCAAATACAAAAATATACTGTATATACAGTATATACTGTGTTTGCAAAAAAGTTTTAACTTTTTGATTTAATACTACTCTTAAAATTTTTTGAAAAAATATTTTCAAAAATTATTCTTCTTCTTCATTTCTTGTTTAAATTTTTTTAACTAAAAATTTAACTTCAATAATGATAATAAAATCAAATGACATATTTATTATTAAAAGTAATGAAGTTTCTAAAAGAAAAAAAAAATAGTTATAAAATAAATCGCTCAAATAATAAATAAATCTTCAAAATATATTAAGCTTTTATATAGAATTAATAAAAAATAATCTTATTATAGAAACAATATATTGAAATATTATTAAAAAAATTAAAGTAATGATATTAAAATATGAAAAAAAAGTTGCAATTAACTAAAAAGAAAATGTAAAAAAAAAAAATTATAAAAAATTATAAAAAAAATCAATACAAAAATTTTCAAAAAAAATAAAAATCAAAAATATATAAAAAATTAAAAATTAAAATAAAAATAAGATAAATCTTATAATACCACTAATTCTTTAACCATATATAAAAAAGATGATTGCAAAAAATTTTTCATTTTTTTGCTATTAAAGTTTTAATAGTTTCCTTAAACCAATTTAAAATATAATTTCAAGAATTATTTTTATTCTTTTCAAATTATTTACAAATCCTTTTACTTAAAAACTTGACTTTCAATAATCAAGAAAAGGCAAATAACACTTTTGATATCAATAGCAAGAAAATTTTTAAAGAAAGAAGAATTGATTGTAAAGTATTTAAAGATTTTTCAATATTTAAAACAAGAGATTTATAAAGATTTTTCTATAATAAAAATATTTATTCTTTTTTTTTTAATTGTCTTGATCCTTTTAGAACTTTAAATTTTCTAGTTTTTTAAAAAATTTTATAAATCTCAATTTAACTTCTTATAATTTAAGCAATAAAATTTTTAATAAAAGTAATTAACTAATATAAAACACATCAATTCTTAAAATATAAACAAGATTCTATTAATTACACTCACATGTTCTGATAATAATATTAGTAATTAAAAAAAATATTTTGAAACTGTTTATTCTTAGAAATCCAAGTTCTTTAATAAAAATATTTATAATATCAAAAGAATAAGATATAGATAATGTGAATTGTAAACTTCTAATTTTTATCTAAGTTTTAAGTTCTTTAGGTAGTAACAAAGCTTTAATAACTAAAATTAAGATTTAAATACTTTTCTTGAAATATAACAATTTAATATTTATTTAAATAAAAGATTGATAAAATTAACTCATGTAATATTTTAGGCAATAAAAAAGAAAATTTATTTCAAGGTTTAAATAAAGTAAAAAAGATTATCCCAATCAAATAAATTCTTTTAAGTTTATTTTTAGACTTTTTTTAATAAACCTTAAATTGTCATTTTCCTTTATTTATTCTTTCTCCTTTTCTTTTAACTTAATAATTTATTTATTTTTAAATTAATCAATAGTAACAAACAATTAACAATGTTTTAATAAATAGTAATTAATTTAAATATATCAAAAAAGCATAATATTATTTTCAAAATAAGACTTAACGTACTTATATATAATAACAAGTTAAATAAATTATAAAAAAATCTATAAATTATTATAAATTTTATTTTAATTTCTTAATAAAGACAAATAATTATAGTATAAGTATAGAACATAAAAAAAAATAAATCTTACAATAATAATATAAAATATAAATTAAAATAATTTAAATTTAAATAAAATTAACTTAGACCTATGGATCCATAATATAATGATTAGTACTTTATAAATCATATTACAAGAGTCAAAATCAAATTCTTCAAAGGACAATCTCCAAAAAATAGGCAGTGATTTGCATCTATTAACATGACTATATATAATTGATGTTTTCAAGTATTACTAGTCAACTGGATTTCTGAGTAGTACAAACTAATTTATACATGAATTGTAATAAGACTGGATATCCAAAATCGAATAGAATTATCCCTTAACTTGATTGTATTACTAAAAAAAATAATAAGAAGAATGGATATTAATCAGTAGTACATTTCTGAAAGAAAGTTATAAAGGTCAAAATTGAAAGAATTAAAATGTATAGCTGTGTAGGATTTTACAAACTTGACTATAAGGAGGTCTTAATGAAAGAAAAAATTTATGAATCACTCTAAAAACTTGAAAAATTGAAGAAGTTCAAGATAAAGAAAATTTGATGACCTGATAATTGAATTACTCTTAATAAAACTGATTTGAGAATAATTAAAAAGAAATTATACATTTTTTTTAAAAAAAGATATAAGACTTTATAAAAAGTAAAATATATGTAACTACTTATATAAATAGGTTTACTTTAAATATATACAGTATACTGTATGTTATTATTTAATATATAGATAACCTTAATGAAAATAGTTCTTATATAAAAATCTAAATTTGGGGCCTCAATAATTACTATAAAATAATTAATGATATAATAAACAAAAGATGTAGCTACATTATCCTACAAGTATAAGAGAAATGCATGGAGCCTTATCCTATATATAATATATCTAATACATAACTCTGAACTATATAAGGTAGTAATAACTACAAGTTCCAATATACCAATAATAATATTAATATGTACAATCAATAATCCAAACATTTATGAACTATTATCACTTGTAACTATTAAGGACTAAATGATCTAATAAAGAGAATATCATAAATGGAAACCTGAAATATGAAAGTATATGATATTATTATCATAACTAAAACAAAAGAAAAGACTTACAAAACTAAACACTAAAAAACTAAAGGATATACTATCTGATAGTATAATAATAATAATATAGGCTTTGGTATTAATATAACAATTAATCAGAATACCATTGACAGGATAGTTAATGAAAAAAAAAAGCTGATAAGACTTATATGCATCGACTTGACCCTTCTAAACAAGAGATATTGCAAAATAATAAAAATATACTTACTAGTAAAACTGGATCATAAAAGAAATGAAATATAAACTTAAATCATCTCATGGATAAAATGATACAATTATAACAACTGACATATTATCCTTAATAGGAATTTTAATTTTTATACATTTCTAAAATTAGACAAATTTTCTAATAACAGAAATATTGCCAAGAACATTCTTAATCCTTTCTTCCAACAACTTGAAGAACTTAGCCTTTATTATACTTTCTGATATTATAACTGTTATAACAAAAAATACACTTAATCTAAGATATCCAACACAGTTTATAGAGCTAGCTATATTAACATAATATGGTGTAGTTCTAGTACTTTATTGACCTTTATATTATAGACAACACTAGTATTATTTAGTACAAATCACAAAATCCAGATTATATACATGGAAATTTGAAAAAGTACTCTGCAAAATATTCATATCCTTTTCACAACAATATACATATTATATAGCAAGCAATCTCAAAAAAATAATGAAAAGCATTTGCCAATTATCTAGTCTTCTCTAAAAACTATTTAATAATAAAGTTATCTCAGACTGAACAAAACATTAACTAGATATAGAATGATCTCTACAATATAATTCTCAAAACTATAAACAAACATGTTTAAAAATTCAAGAAAAAATAGAAGAATTGCAGAAAAAAACAATCTCTAGCAAACTAATTCTTCAATTACAACTGAACAAATATAGAAAAAAGTTGATACTTTATGAGAAAAAATTAGACAAACATAATCCAAGCAGAAATAACTTACTCTATTAAGTTATATTTACTAAAATTCTACTATCTAAATGACCCCCAAATCAAAATACAAGTAATATCATTTTAGAAATTGACATACTAATTAAACTTAAAAAACTCACTATTAAAAAAACTATCAAAGAAAAAACTATGACAGTTATTAAGAAGTAAAAAAAGCTATGAAGCAGATAGTTTGACCAGGACAAAATACAAATAATTTGATCTATTTTAAGCTAACCTAAAAAAAGTATCATTACTAGTAGACTAGGAAATAATACATTATTTGAAAAAAACCTCATTAATGACTTGATAAAAACTAAAAATGAAATTTGTTTATATTTAAAAAAATGGATTAAACAATATCAGATATATTAATACAGAGAACCCATTTGGTAGTAGAAATATAAACCCAAGGAGACTATTGATTCCAATTAGTATAAGGAAGTAAATCTTCCTATATTACTTCTTGAACTTCTTGAGAGCTTAAACAAATTTAGTAACAAATTTGTTTAAGACCCCTCATAAATATCATATATGATATATAAACATATGAGCAAGGATTTCTTCAAACTAATTATGATTTGCTTCAATATCTTTATTAACAAAGAAATGGTTTCAAAAGAATAGAAAATAGGTATAATATATCCTATTCTAAAGTAAATAATGGTACTATGACATTA